TTACTGTTTTTGATACCCAGCTGTAGTACTTTTGGATGCTTTCAATCATCATCACATCACATGAAAATGTACTCAAAGCCTTGTCAGAATGTGCCTCTGAACTCTACTCCTCCTCCTTCCTTTCTTTAACCCCCACATACATCCAACAGAGCCTCCCGTCTTCGTCCCCTCATCGTCTTTTGTCTTCCTTTCCCTCCAGAATTCCTGGCCAGAGGCTCGAGCCTTCTCCCTCAGTGCGGTTGTCCATCTGTCGGCGGCCGGCCTCCTCCGCCGACAGATGTCTGCTTCCTCGACCTGAGCCTGGAGGTCTGTGTGGGGGGGAGTCAGTGGTTGACCGGTGGAGGGTGACCTTTACCAGGGGAGAGTCTGCATTGACACTAATGGGGACAATAAGAGGGAACAATGGTGTGGATGAACACCAGGGAGGAGGTGTGTGTCGGGGGGGGGCAGTGGCTGACTGACTGAGCGTCTCCATGCAAACATGCCTTCATTTCTCTGTGAAAGGAGTGTGGAGATATAGAGCAAGAGCAGTCTGTGTGGTTACATATTAAACTGCTGAAGGATATGCAATATTTCACCCATGGCTCCTCCTTAACAAAGCTCAGTTAACTCATGTATTTACCATCTAAATCTCAGTTTAAATCTGGGCAAGCACCCAAAACAGCTTAGCTTAGCTTAGCTTAGCAAAAAGGCCAGAAGCAAGGACAAAACACTTAGCATGGCTCTGTCCATAATAATAATGCAAAGCCTCCCAGACTAATTCCCACATTGAATGTACACAAACATAAATAGAAACAACAATACGTTGGTTGAAGTGAAATCAAGAAGTGAAACTAACTCCCTCTAACTCCATATTGAAACTTCTTAGTTTCGACTACATATTGATTTGTGTTGGAGTACTTTTGATATTGTTGCTGTTCTTCTTTATTGTGGAGCTTTCATCTGGGCTTCCTCTTAGATTAGAATTTATTTACTCACTGGACCCTCGAGGGGTCAGAGGGCTTCAATTAATGCCGCTATTGTGGCCAAACTTTGACCGTTGAGTGAATCATCAGAGGGTTTGTTTGTACTTTTATTTAGTGCAGAAAGGGCTCGTGGGTTACACAGGGGTGGAACTACGGCTGGAAAATAACAAAAAGATAGACACTGTTTGGAAAGATTTAGTTATTAATCTTGTGAAACTGATAATAGATTTTTGGTGTTGGTCTTGGATATAATGGTCACAGTAACTTGCTCTTGTGGTAGAAAAAAGGTCAGAGAGAGCAAACACATGACAACAGACTGCTGGGGAATGACGTCGGGAGACATATTTCATGTGAGCAGCCTGCCGTGTTAATTACCCAGAGCGTGGTGTGTCACCGGACAGCCTGTGCTCTGTAATGTAGCTGCCTCTGAGTCCGTGTCAATGGCCTGTTTGAACCAGCGTCGGTGTTAATGCTGCTGCATCACATTTACAGATAAGACAAATGCAAACGCACAAGTAAGTGTCCACTCAGTATCCTGCACTTTTAGGTTTTAGGTTGTCTGTCAGTTGTCCCTCCCTAAGTACTTTTACTCAAATACTGTACTTCAGTACAACTTTGAGGTACTTGTACTTGTATAGTATAGAGGTATACTTAGTGATTAAGATGTTGCATCCAAAATGTACAACACATTGTTAGAGATTAAACTTGTTAAATTGGCTCCCTCACAACTCCCTCCATGGCTTTCACATTAATTAATTACTATATATATATATATATATATACTAATATACTTAATCTGTTTTATGTCAGGCATTTTAAATCTAATATATCTTTCTGCCAGGTGGCTTGAAGGCGTTTAATATTATGATTTGAGTCCTCGTCTGTAAGTATTTGCTTGTTCGAGCATTTAAGTACATTTAGCTGATAATACTTCTTTACTTTCATGCAATCATTTGAATGCAGGACTTTGATTAGTATTTTTACATGCTGGTGTTGCTTCTGTTACAGAAAGTAAAGGGTCTTATTACTTCCTTAATAACTAAATCGTATTCCCTTTGCACTTTGAATGTGTTTTCAAAGCTGCTGTATTCTTTTATGAGTCTCGAGCTTCATAGCAACAAGTTGTGAATACTTGTTTTTTTCTGGCAAGAAAGTTGCCAAATTCAGTTTTCAATTTTTATAAAACATCTGCAGCTTCTGTGTTTGAAGAAAGGTCAGCTTGAGACTTCACACTTACAAAACTATAGTGGGCAGCGTGTGTGTGTGTGTGTGTGTGTGTGTGTGTGTGTGTGTGTGTGTGTGTGTGTGTGTGTCAGTGTAAAACCCTCCCTCCCTTGCAGCGACTCACAGCTGTAAATGGAGGGTTTGAAAGCAGCTCAGATTGTTGAGTATGAGGCCATCGGCGGGGAAGAATCCATTATGAGCCCTAATCCAGGTTACCTCAATCCAACACAACAAACTGCCCGCAGATAGCAACACAGTGTGTGTTTATCTGTGAGATGAATACAGATCAGATCGGCTCTACCAATAATGCACTGCAGTAATAGACTTTATCCGCGGAGCACTTTTTACAGCAGCTTTTACAAACGCTTATAAAGTTATATTGGTTCAAGCCTTCAGTGCGATGGTTGTTTGGGCCGGTTAGTAAAACTATTGGTCGCCCTTATTTTTTAGGAAGGAAATTCTAGTTCTTAAAAAACAAATAATCTTCTTGCTGACAGTTTTGAGCACATGGTGTGGAGGTTTATGTTTTTAGTGTGTTTGTGGGAGACCAGGCCAAGCAAAGAGTTTACGACAAAACAATACAGAAATCCTTCAAGAGATAAATCAATGCTAACATTAGTATCATTAGTGTCATTAGATGTGTAGGGCTGCTATTTCAACATGGTGACCAGCAGTCCAAAAATATTCTGCTTCTATTATATAAAACAGAGAAAAGCAGTTAATCCGCACATTGGAGAAACTAGAGCCAAAGTATTTCTTTCATTTGTGCATAAAAAATGATTCATTGATTATCAAAATTGTTGCTGATTATTTGTTGTGAAATATTTTTGCAGAGCTGAAACAAAGTTTGCCCAGAATGCCTTCAGAAATAATAAAGCATAATAATGAGTCAGTCAATGAAGAACTACAAGATTTAGAATAATGTGATTCTTGAAATGCATGAAAGAGATATTAAGTGATCAAATGCTGAGTAAATCATCTTTGACACTTGCTTTGTATTTTATGCTAGCTTCGGTAGCTTCGGTGCATCAACAGATTGTGAATCTTGCCACCTTGTTCTTCGTGTCTGTTGGAGTGAGCTCGTGTAAAGAGGAAATTGGTCGGCAGTGGGACGACAGTGCAGGTTTGGTGAGAACAGAAGGTGTCGGAGGTTTTGTGGAGGTTTTATTTGAGATGAGTCTGTGTCCCCCCCCCCTCCTCTTGTCTCTTATTTTCAGCCATGGGGTGTGGAGCCCGGAGTCCCAGGCCTGTGCTCGTACCGCTCCAGGGGAAGTTCATTAAACTTCATTTACATCGGTGATGCAAATCATGCAGATACTTTATCCGAACAAAGACTGTTGCAGTGAAAGGTGGTTCCTCCACAGGCCAAAGGTCAGCACACCCCCGTGCTCACAGCTCCAGGTTAGCTAGAAGTGATACCGAAAGTCCTTCCCGTTGGAATACTAAAGTATTGGTGTTGTCCTACAATGGGTGCTGCCTGCATGACAAGGTATCACATTCTGAATTATATACAGTATAACTGCACATTTAGCATTGTGAATACAACCAGGACTGCATGAGAAACCTGGACTTCTGGTGGAAGTATTTGAATCAAACAGAGTTGCAGAAGCACAAACATGAACACTTCATAAACCTCTGAGGTGTTTCTACTGGTAACATCTGTCTGGCTGTGTCAGATGGACTGACTGAGCAGTCTGGTTTAACTAGTTACAGGTATGTGTGTGTCTGTTTGTCGGCAATGTTGTGTTCGACTTTATAAACATGGGTTTTGGCCCCTGTTTGCAGAGTAACTACTTTAGCCTTTCAAAATGGAGTCCTGAAGAGGAAACATGTAGTGACACAGCAAGACATCAGGGTCTTAGACATTACAGACCAGCAGCAAGACGCAAAGAAATAAACACAAATACACTGAAACTAAACTATGTTTGCTTCCTTTTATAAACATATGTCCCCTGCTTTGAATTAATGGAAACCAGAAGAAGCAGTGATGATAATATTGTTTCCTTCTTTAAATAAAAACATATTTGTGATTTTTTGAAATTGATGCATCTTCTCTCTGTGTCCATTCTGTCTATCCAAGTTAGAAACATTCATACATTTGACAGGATTTAAGAGAGAAGAAGAACGTGTGCTCTCGTGCAACAGAAAGGGAGAGAAACATCAAAAAGGAAGTAGTCATCAGTGGAAAACTGATTTGTGTGAGTCACTTTGTGTGGGCGGCGTATGATCTATCTATCTATCTATCTATCCATCTATCCATCCATCTATCCATCTATCCATATATCTATCCATCTATCTATGTACTGTAAGAATTATGCAATAATATCTGATTTCAGCTCACATGTGTAAACCACAGTTAAGATGAATTACTGGTGTTTATTATGTCATTATTTGACTTGAAATGCAGCCATTTTGTAACTTAAGAGAGATATTTGCAAAGCTCTGTCCTGTTTTCCAAATATTAGCAGCCAAGTGAACATTTACTAAATTAAAATTGATTTAATGTCCAAAAAGCAGGTATATTAATCAGTAATATATACATATATATTCTAATTTGATGGATCCATTGATCAAAAAACATGGAGCCCACAGTTGAGAGTCGAGAACAAAAGATATCTGAGAAGAAAAATGAAAATTTTAAAGGCTTGTGTCACGTCCTCCTTCCTCTCCCCCATCCGGTGAGAGGACAACAGCGGAGAGTCGTTCCGCGCTCCGATTGGCCCGCTGAATGTAACAACAGTGCTGATTGGCTGAGGGATTGCCGCTCCGGAGCTTCTATTTTGAACATAAAAACGGGGGTGCTGCACTCTGCTTTTTCTCAGAAACCAGGGGGCTGTCAGAGAGGGAGTTCGCTGTGCTGCAGCCCTCTGACACACACAACATCAGCAGCAGCAGCAGCAGCAGCTATGTGGCTTTAGTAGTTTGCAGGACCGAATCACAATTTCACCACCGAGTCACTTCCAGCCGGTGTTTGGGATCCTATGTTTGGAAATGTTTTCTTAAATTGTTGCTAGCTAACTGGTTAGCTTTCGGGTTAGCTTGACGTTTTGGACCGTCTTTTGCTAATTTGTTCCTCTCCAGACCCGAAATTCAAACTAAATCTTCGGCAGAGCAATACCGTCTGCTGGATTTAAAACAAATTGGACCGCTTAAGATGGAGTCGGATGATGTTTTTGTCTGCACCAGTCCTGTTAAGACCGTATTGAAGAGCAGGCCCGACGGGATCCCCGGGCTTTCCTCGCTCTGCCTGCCCGAGTTGAGCACAAAGAACATGCACTGCAGGGACCTGTTCTCCCCTGGACCCGCCACTGTGCTGTCTCCTGTCACCAATTTGGCTCTGGACATGAACAACTTAGCTGGACTCGGAAGGTAATGTTATTTAATTTTTACATATTATTTTTTCCTGTGTATTTCATCTACAGCTGATTTTGTTTTTGTTCAAGCCCTGGATGAACCTTAATGTATTCCTAGCATGCACAGTCTGAGTTAATGTCCACATCACTGATGTTCATTCTTTTTCCCACACAGCCTGTGTGATACCCCGAAAAGGAGAAAGCATGCACCCCTTGAGAAGGTTCCCTCCTTTGCTTCTGATGTGTCATCTGATGCTGGTGAGTCCTCCTAAATATATAGGTATTGTCTGTGCTAATTGATGCTGTTAGAACTGATGCCCAAGGGCCAAATGTAAATCTATTGCACCTCCTGTCGTAGTCACGTCCTGCGATTACGCTCAATGCTTGTTTTTTAGTACAGAAAATGAAGTTGTAACTATTCAGTTAATTTTTCAAGCAAAATTAAAAGCATGACCTTGTTCCCAACTTCTCAATTAGGAGGATTTGCTATCTTTCTTTGTCTAACATGATTAACTAAATATACTAATATCATTTGGAATAATTGTAGCACTGATACGTCACCGGGTCTTAAGTGTAAAATCAAATTCAAGCTTGCGGTTACGTTGCTATTATACTGAGTATGCAGCGTTAATCTATCGGTATTCATCTGGCCGTTGGTGCCACTTTACCACCTGATGCTTATGTTGACCTGTGACACACATCTCTTCCTCCAGGCCTCGGCATGGACCTCCCCAGCCCCATGGATGCTGTTGAAATGGATGACACGTAAGTTGCACTGTCCGCGTCATGTCTGTTCTAATCAATCGGCCCGTGAGCTGTGCCGCTCTGCTTACCCACACACCGCCTCCACCCTGAGCCAAGCACTACTTCTCATCTGTAGGATTATTGTTTCTACCGTTAGCTTAAAGAGGATGGCTTCACTCATTATTATTTTTTTTACTAAGAAGATTAACTGATAATGACATGTGATCTTAACTTTCCTTAAAGTGACAATCCTTTAGATTTAAGTCCTGGGTAATGGTAGGATTTCTATTTGAGTGAAAACTATGCGTTTGTGCTTTTTGTTGATACGTGAGCTTCACGTTTTCATAATCGTGTACACAATAGAGACAAACCATAATACGTCTTTCTCCAGGAATGTCACCACAGACGCCCAGTTGGTGATTTTGAAAATGTATAAATAATAAATATTGCACTGCTTTCATCAGTGAACCGTAGGCTCAATCACTGTTGTGTTACCTCCTTTGACAATAGTGAGTTAACAGACATGTATTGCAATGATCGGGCAACAAGCTTTACATTAGCTGGGAACATGCAGGTCCACCTTGTTATCTTGACCAGTTTGTCAGTGTACCCTCGGTCTGCTAATCTTGGGTGGCCCCTTCCTCTAAACGCTGCGCTGGGTGAGTCTCTGCAGACATCTACCGCTGTCTGATGTGAGACTTCCTTTACAGCAGCATTTGGTCCTCAAGACCTCATTCACCTCCGGCTCGGTTGCTAGGAGGTTTTCCAGGTTGGGGGAGGACGCTTGGGTTTAATGATAGCGCACCCCCTCTGGGTTTTGGCACACTCTTCCTATGCACTGTTATATCAATATGAATAGGGGGGCTGCAGTTTCTTCTCCGTCCCGGCCTTAGAAATGAGGGCACCCCGGAGAACAACTGCCCTCCCTTCTCCTGGTCTGCATTGAATGGGACACGCTCGCTCCTCCACAAACAAAAGGCTCTTGCAGAAAAGGGGTTGGCGGCGTTGGCTCCAGCAGGCATATGGTAGATTAGCTGATCCCTGCACCACTTCTCCCCCACTCACACCGAGCTCTCCGCTCACTTAGCATACAGGTGGGCATTACTCCAGTGCAAAGACCACCTCTTGCCTCTTTGCATTCAACCAACTTCCTCTAGTCAAACCGTTCCTCTCGCTTCCCCGAAAGAGCTCCAGATTCTTTTATCTTTGGAGTTTAATGGCACACGGTGTTCTTCGACCGCCAATGAAAGCCTGTCTGCCTCTTTCCTCCGCAGGTTTTATTATAAAGATCTTTGGCAGAAAAGTTATTGTCAACAATTTTGACTCCAGCATTTTGAAGGCATTAAATTGAGCTCTGAGAGATCGTGAAGCTATTGTAGAACGAATGATTAATCAACTCATCGTTGGTTGGAGCCTTGTTTTTCTTTCTTGTACTATATTAGTTTTAATCTGTTTTATATTACTGACCTTTTCAACTGAACCGTTTGTTTTCTGTTGCAGATTTGAAAAGGCCATTCAACAGTCGAGCAGAGTTGTCAACGAGTAAGTTGCTTTATGGTCAATAACCTGAAATCATTAACAGGTGTTTTTTATTGCCTCATTATTTGAACAGTAGAACTAGAACAGTTTGTATTCACCACAGTGCTTCCTCTACCAATTACAGGAGGATGCCAATTAGAAGAATCAACTCATTGCCGGTAAGGACATTTGTCATGTTTTTTTTTTTTTTTTTTTTTTTTAAATTAGTCAAAACTTTGGCTGATGCTGTTGATTTGGCCGTTAATAAAGCACTAATATCCTCATGTCAAAATGTTCCTCCAGAGGAGTTTTCATAAATCACACAGAAGGGAGTTTTAAAAGAATCACAGCTGGATGTTTGTTTTATTGTGAGGCTTAAAAGCCAGTTGGGAATTTGTCTTGAGGGCAGATTTACATATTTAAAGAGTCCAGTGTGAACCTACTGCAGAACAGCTTGTTTACAGTTGCTGGGCGTCTGCTGACTTGGATCCCTCATCCCCCCCCCCCCCCTCCTCTCAGCTCCAGCTCCAGAGTTACAGTCCATCTCTGAAAGGACAGGAAACAGATTCCCACCGCTATGGAATATTCGGACAACAACCCTCCCAAATGGCGGCCTCCTCCTCCTCTCAACGCGACAACAAGGAAAACGTGCCGAAGGTCTGTGATGCACACGCTTCATAGATACGGTCGCAACCGTAGAACTCGTGTAATGCTCAGAGAACTGATTTGTTGCCATGACGAAGTCATTGCATTAATTGTCTTAAAGGTTTGGCCAATCTTTGGATTCTATTCTACCACTTAGAAGTTATTAGAGCGATATTGATTTCAATGTCTGGTGTTTAAAAGGAGATGAACCAGAAGCAGCTTGTTGTTGATGGTGCGTACAGGTGATGTGTGTCGGGAGCCTCTCCGCTGTTAACTGGTTTGATTTGCTGTGAAAACGCACCTTAAAGGTTGAGCATGAGTTCACTCTTTTAAAACACTTTTCTTTCTTTTTCTCAGGAGGGCTTTGAATTCAAGAAACCAACCAAGCCGGTGTCGCGGTGTCGCGTGCGCTCCTTCAACAGCAGTCAGGCCAGGGACGCGCTCGCCCGCCGCCCCAGCTCCGCTCCGGCCCTCATGGTACTTCAGCTTGTGATGAACGAGCGTTCAAACACCTGTTTCTGGAAAGACTCTAACACGTCTTTTCTGTCGTTCCGGTTTTTGTCGCCCCTGCCGATCCAGCAGCTGGACTTCTTTGACTCCAGCCCCATGTTCCTGAGGCGTTCCTCCCCCACATCCTCTCTGAACGACGACGAGGACGACGGCTTCCTGGACGTTCTGGATGACAACATGGAGGTGAGGCCCGGTCACTCGCGCTGAACATGAATGGAAATTATGTGTCGGCCAAATGGGTTTCTGTTCAGATTGTCTGAATCACTGCTTTCCTCTGGAGAATTCAGAACATCACACTTTTATTTCACGGGTCACTCACTCTTTGTTTCCTCGTTGCCTGCAGAACAACTGTGGGATGCCGATGGGAATGGCCAGCCTGCTCACTGCCCCGCTGGTGACCGACAGTTCAGGAGAAGACTCTGTAAGTTTGTGACTCTAGAAGCTGAAATGTTTACTAAGCTCACAGAGGACATGTGGGTTATTGATTGAGTTTGTTTTTGTCTAACTCAGCCCGTGATTCGCTGCCGGCCACGCAGCCTGTTTCGCTCCCCCTCCATGCCCAGTCCGCTCCCGCTCCGTCTCTGCGCCAAGCGTCCCGACTGCTCCGGAGACGAAAACACACCGGTCCGGGTGAAGAGGCGACGCAGCGTGGCAGGAACACAGGTCACCACCGTGGAACAGAACCCTGAATCCCCAAGACTGGTGAGTCCTCCTCGCTGCCCGCTGTAGTGAGGGATTGGTGTTTATACCACGTGGTGTCAATAGTTTAATGAGTCTACTGTTGACTTAATGGCAACAGGAAGCGGGGCCTTCATTTAAGTATCACCCTCCTTTGACTGTTCGTTAGTTCATCTCGCCTGTAAACATTAGTGTTGGTTACTGGAGCCCAATATCCAGTATCGATCAGGACTGGCTGTTGTCGCTGGCTTTGCAGACGATCTCAAATTTCCTAATTTTTCTCCTCGACTGCCTCCTTAAATCGTTCCCTTTCCTTCCAGGGTTGCTCTCTGCTCCAGAGGTCCAAGTCCTTCTGCCAGACAGACATCGAGAAGCTGCTGGACGGCGAGGACGGTTCTAACGAGCTGATAGGAGATTTCACCAAGGTGAGGACGTCACTGCTGTTTCTCACACTCGTAACTCAACTGTGACATTACTCGTCTCATCTAATTTCCTTTTTTCTCTTTCAGCCTTTTGTACTCCCCACAGTGGACGGCAAACATCAAGACCTCAAGTACATCACCCCGGACACGGTGGGTGGAGGCACTCGGCGCTAACCTAACAGATATTGAGTGTTTGGTCGGCGTGCCTTCTTGCCATATCAAACATTTTGGTTGTGTTTTTCAGATGGTGGCAGCTCTGTCCAGCCAGTTTAATCATCTCGTTGAGCAAGTTATTGTCATGGACTGCCGCTACCCCTACGAGTTTGATGGGGGACACATCAAGGTGAGAGAGAATCTCCAGCATAGTTGGGTTTTTTTTTTGTTTTTTTTTTTGTTTTTTTTTAAAAGCATTTACACGACAGGTCAGTGACAGCAATACAATATTTCAGTTTGAACGCATTTGTTTTTTAAATAATGGAGGATTGTCTGTATTCAGTTGACTGTTTCTTCATGAATGCCTCTCTGTCAGTTCCTGTACTTCTATGAATAAAGTGGTTGTGTTCGTCTCTGTGGTCTCAGGGCGCCCTGAACCTGCACCAGGAAGACCAGGTGGAGGACTTCCTCCTCAAAACGCCCATCGTCCCGTCCTGCCCGGACAAACGAGTCGTCGTCATCTTCCACTGCGAGTTCTCTTCGGAGCGCGGCCCTCGAATGTGCCGGTTCGTCAGGGAGCGAGACCGCGCCGCCAACGAGTATCCCAACCTCCACTACCCCGAGCTCTACATCCTCAAGGGCGGATACAAAGACTTCTTCCCTCACTTCCAGGTCAGTTTGGCTTCAGGTTCCTCTGTGAGCCGACAGATACTTTGTCTGCCACTCGAGCTTCAATAGAAGCCGTTAAACTCTGTTGGTATTTTTAATAAAATTAGCTCACGTCAAGGTCCATTTGCTGGCGTCTTCTTTGCATGTCTTCTCCGCTTGCAAGTTCAGAAAATACTCGTACGGCGAGTTCTTTATTTGAGATGATTTAGTCACATGTAACGTGGTTACTTCGTGGCCTTGAGCCACCTTTCCTCAAATATTTAGCGAGCAATTCTCCCATGTAGTGTTGGTTTGAGTGAAACCCTCGTCAGTGCTTTGAACGCGTCTCCTTCTCTTCCACAGTCACAATGTGAACCTCAGTCCTACCGGCCCATGCACCACGAAGACTTCAAGGAGGACCTGAGGACGTTTCGCCTCAAGAGTCGCACCTGGGCCGGGGAGCGCAGCAAGAGAGACATGTACAGCCGACTGAAGAAGCTCTGAGCGCCTCCTCGTCCTCCCTAACTGCCTCTAAAACACACTGACCCCCCCCCCCCCCCCCCCCCCCCCCCCCCCCCCCCCCC